CCTTTCCCTCCTCGCCTCTCCTTTCTCAATAGACTTTATTTTTAGACCGGTTCTAGCTTCACAGCAGAAGGTACAGAGATTTTGCATATACTCCCTGCCTCCACATACACTGGTCTCCCCACCATCAACATTGCCCACCAGAGTGGTACATTTATGACAATTGCTGAACCTACATTGATACATCGTGACCACCCAGTGTCCACAGTTTGCATTGGGGATCAATGGATGGACAGTCAGCTTTGGCAAATGTATAATGATGTGTATCCACCCTTCTAGTAGCTCACACAGAGGAGTTTCACTGTCCCCACATCCCTTGTGTTTATTTCTCTCTTTTGATCCTTTTTCAACCTCAAGTCTTTCTGCCCCTGCAGACCCCTTACGTATAGAGAAGCTTATGACCAGAAGAGGCCAGCATGGGCCAGAGCAGGGGCCCCTCTTGCCTGGGTCTAAGAAAAATAAATAAAGACTTGGTGACCGCCATCATGCATGGCAGGTCGCCAGAGATTCAGCCAGCGTTTTCATCTGAGCAATGCTGGGTAGCAGGCAGCTGGCCAGTCATAGTCTCTGGAAAGCTTTGAATGGCATTTCCAGTGTGATCAAGGCTCCCTATTCCCTATCTGGTGACAACTGGAGCCCATGTGACCTGGTGGAGCTACCCCTCTACCCTCCCTTTCTCGTCTTCTGCCCAGGACTCTGCAGTCCATCACTGCCAACTTCCCTTACACAATTAGACAATTTCCTGATAATAATTGTTTATTCTCTATCTCCAAGAATGGCATGGCTGACTATAACCTGTTGTGAAATCAAACCATTGCCATGGCCCACCCCGAAGGGCCAAATCACCCCAACACAAAGACACTTCTGCGGGCACCATAGGCCTGCCCGTCTCCTCAGGCGTGGCTCTGTCATTGTTCTCAGAACCTTGTCTGCTTGCTTTGGAAGAAGTCCCAGCAGGCTGACCCACCTCGTTGCAATCCTAGCTTTAATCTCAGCTATGAAAAGGGTGGAAACATGGAAACCAAAATGAATGAAGGCCAGGATGACCCTGCTGCTGCTGAAGCACCACCCAGCGCATAGTAGGAGCTCAATGAATATGTGTTGAAAAATTGAGTATTGGTAGAATAATGATTTCCCTTTCAAAAGAGTCCCAGCAAGGCTGCTGTTTCTTCCCAGCTCAGTCATCACGCAAAACCAGCTGAAAATGAACACCAAGAGGCAGCCTGGAAAGAGAAGCCTTACGGCAGCCTGGGCCAATGAGTGGCAGCCCAGCAATAGTGATGGGGTGGGGCAAGGGGGGGCCTTGAGGTGGTTTGTTCAGCCCACATTACAGGTTTCTTTTGGTTCCAAGTGGCACGTACACTTTTTCCTACGGGTCTGCAGCCTCCAGCATCACCCTCCTGCCTCCAGGAGCCCCATGTGGCTGCCCGAATCATCTCAAGTTCCCCAGCCTCTTTGCCCTCTTGTTTCCAGACTTTTTTTTAAAAGCACTTTCAAAGTCGGTCTCATGTCATCCATTTTAACTGACATGTCATTGGCATTTTTTTAACCTATTATGACAACTACACAGCTTGCCCAGAAAATAAGTTTTTAAAAATAAAAAAGAAGTCTTCAAAGACAATTTCTATTTTGCTGACCTGCCAACCCAGGCTACCGTATTTGCCGGCGTATAAGACGATTTTTTGGCCCTGAAAAATATGCCTGCAAGTGGGGGGTCGTCTTATACGCCAGGTACACTTCAGATAGACTGCCCATAGTGCTTGCCCCGTGCCATAGTGGCCTCCCGATGCCCGCCCACCCCATGTGGCTGCCCGAATCATCTCAAGTTCCCCAGCCTCTTTGCCCTCTTGTTTCCAGACTTTTTTTTAAAAGCACTTTCAAAGTCGGTCTCATGTCATCCATTTTAACTGACATGTCATTGGCATTTTTTTAACCTATTATGACAACTACACAGCTTGCCCAGAAAATAAGTTTTTAAAAATAAAAAAGAAGTCTTCAAAGACAATTTCTATTTTGCTGACCTGCCAACCCAGGCTAATTGTTTTGTTAGGACAGACAAGTCTAGATTTTCAACACCAGAGGGTGCCAGTGGTTAAATTATGCACACAAGCTGCCCTTAGCAATGACTCAATACCCATCCTTTCTGTTGCCCAATAAAAAGAAAGAATGGGACGTTGGTGGGTTGGTGGGTTGGTGGGCAGGTGCAGGTAAAGCAGACCGAGTGTCAAGTGTAGCTGCTGCTAAGGGGAGTGGGACAGAGAAATTAGAACAGGGTGCTGTTTGTTGCCTGGGGTACACGCTAGGTCTGGATTTTCAGACATCAGTTAATGGAGTCAGCATCACGGCCAGGCTGTGTGGAGCTTTCTCGTTTGCCTGTATTTTCTGAGAAAGCCCCCTCCCACCATCCCCCTCATCCCCACTCCTCTGCCTGTGCTCTGTGGGCATCTTCAGCTCCACAGCTCCGTGGGACTCTTGAAGCCTGGGTTGGGGGCTGGGAGGCTGTATCTGAGCAGTCCCTCCCTCGAAGCCAGTTACCAAGCTATGCAAGGCCAGCAGGTCTGGCCATCCTGCCTGATTTCATTCCAGAAAGAGGTGTGTGTGTGTGTGTGTGTGTGTGTGTGTGTGTGTGTGTTAGACTAAGTTTTAGAGCAGTTTTAGATTCACAGCAAAATTAAATGGAAGGTATAGAAACTTCCTCTTATACTCCCAGCCCCACACACATACAGCCTCCCCCACCATCAACATCCCCCACCAGAGTGGTACACTTGTTACAGTTGATGAACCTACACCGGCATGTCATTATCGCTCCACTTACTCCATTTACATTAGGGTTCACTGTTGGTGCTGTACATTGCATGAGTTTGGACAAATTTATAATGATGTGAATCCATCATTATAGTATCAGACAGAGTAGTTTCACTGCCCTAAAATCCTCTGTGCTGCACCTGGTATATCTTTATTTATATCTTTAATTTTAATCTGTATGTGTATTATAATTCAAGTGCATTTCTTGTAGATTACACATAGTTGGGTCTTACTTTTTGATCCTTTCTGACAAGCTCTTTTAATTGGTATATTTGGACCAGTGAGGTTTAAAGTGATTATTGATATAGTTGAATTAAGAACCACAGTTTTGCTACTGTTTTTTATTTAATGCCCCTTTTTTCTGTCCCTGTTTTTGTCTTTCATTCTTTCTGCCTTTTGTGGTTTTAATTGAACATGTTATAAGATTCCATTTTCTCTTAGCATATCAGTTATTCTTTTTTACTTATTTTAGTGGCTGCCCTAGAGTTTGCAATATGCATTTACAATCCATTCCACTTTCAAATAACACTCTATTGCTTCATGGGTAGTGCAAATAGCTTATAATAACAAAATAATACTAATTCTTTCCTCCCACTCCATGAATTATTGCTGTCATTCACTTCACTTATACATAAGCATATATATTTATGTACATATGTATAAGCACCATAATCAAATACATTGCTGCTATTATTTTTTTAAAGCTGTTATCTATTCGATCAATTAAGAATAAGAAAAAAAGTTTTATTTTAATGTCACTTATTCCTTCTTTGATGCTCTCCCTTTCTTTATGTAGATCTAAGTGTCTGACCTACATCATTTTCCTTCTCTCTGAAGAACTTCTTCTTAACATTTCCTGCAAGGCAGGTCTATTGGCAACAAATTCCCCATAATCTTGTCCGAGAAAGTCTTATTTCTCCTTCACTTTTGAAAGATAATTTCACAGGGCACAAAATTCTAGGTTGGTGTTTCCTCTCAATACTTTAAGTATTTCTCTTCACTCTCTTCTTGCTTGCATGGCTTCTGAGAAGCTGGGTGTACTTTTGATCTTCACTCCTCTATAGGTAAGGTGTCATTTCCTTCCGGCTTCTTTCACAATTATTTTTCTTTATCTTTGATTTTCTGCAGTTCATATATGATATGCCTAGGTGTAGTTTGTTGTTGGTCTTTTATTTTTGTTTTGGTAATTTATCCCGCCTGGTATTCTCGGAGATTCCTGGATCTATGCTTTGGTGTCTGACATTAATTCAAGGACATTTTCAGTCATTTTTGCTTCAGATATTTCTTCTCTCTTTTCGTTCTACTATTCCCATAAAATAGACGTTTTGTAGTTGTCCCACAATTCCTAGGTATTCTGTTCCCTTTTTTTTTTTTTTTTTAAAAAAAAGTCTTTTGTCTTTTTTTCTGTTTGGAAGTTTCTATTGACATTTCTTTAAGTTCAGAGATTCTTTCTTCCACTAACGGCCTCCTTCATATCTGCTAGTGTTTTGGTCTCAAGCATTTCCTTTGATTCTTTCTTAGAATTTCAATCTCTCTGCTTAACATTGCCCATCTGCTTTTACATGCTGTCTATTTTATTGCTCAGAGCCCCTAGCATTTTAATTGTAGTTGTTTTAAATGTCTAGTCTGATAATCGCAGCATCCCTGGTTCTGGTTTTGATGCTTGATCTGTCTCTTCCCTTTTAGTACACCTTGTGATGTTTTTCTTGCTACCGGACTTGATGTGCTGGTTAATGGAGCTGTAGTGATGGTGCGGTGTTGGGAAGGGAAGGCTCCGTGGTCCTGTGAGGAGATCTGTCTTTCAGTGAGCCTGTGCCTCTGGACTGTGAACTTATAAGTTCAGATTTTTCTCCCCTCGTAGGTGGGACAGGAAGGATGCTAGAGCAGTCTGGTATTGGGTATTTTTCCTCCCTCAGATCAGTTAGGATCTGATAAAACTATAATAGTTTAGGCTCTGGAGTGCCATGGAGTATGTCCAATGGTTTCCTTTCCCTTCCTTCTACAAGAAGCATAAGTAAATCCGCCCCCCCCCCCCAATATTCACCATGGGAACCTGGTAAAACTCACAAAAGTGCGGAACCCCTATGACCAGGTCTGCCTAGAGTTTTTGACCCTCAGACTTGACTCTCTGAGACTCCAGCAATTTGCCAATTTCAGTTCAGATTTTCCTACCACGGCACTGGTTCCCACAGAGGCTGCTGCTGGGAGTTTCTGTTCTGATTCACCTTAGTTGCCTGCCTCTCCCATTTTGGGGCCAGCGCTTTGCCCTGTGACTTTCTTATCTAATAAATCCAAGAAGAGTTGTTGATTTTTCAGTTTGTTCAGCTTTTTACTTGTTAGGACAGAATGACTACTTCCAACTCCTTACATGCTGGACTGGAAACCAGAACAGTTTGTTTTCTCCTTTGATGTCCTATACCAAGAACTCAGTGGTGTAGGTCAAGTGACATTCCGGCATGGCCTTTGTTCTGTTGAAATTGGATTTTAGGTTTGAAAGGTACCTTGGAGGTCACGTCATTCAATGTCCTGTTTTGTTTTTTTTTTTAAATATGTGTGGTTTTGTTTGGTTGTTTGTTTTTCGAAAGAAGGGAGAGGGAGAGAGAGAAACATTAATGAGAGAGAAATAACATCCATTGACTGCCTCCTGCAGACCCCTGCTGGGAATTGAGCTGGAAACCCCGGCATGTACTCTGACCCAGAATCAAACTAGTGACCTCATAGTGCATGGGTCCATGCTCAACCACACCGGCCAGGCCACTATCCTCATTTTCAGGTGACATCTTTTGTTTAAAATATATTTTTATTGATTTCTGCAAGGAAGGTAAAGAGATTAATGATGAGAGAGAATCATTGACCGGCCTCATTATGCACACCCCACACTGGGACTCAAGCCCACAACCGGGCTTATGCCTTAACCTGGAATTGAACTGTGACCTCCTGGTTCACAGATCGACGCTCAACCACTGAGCCATGCTGCCTGTGCTCAGATGACATTTTAATAGGCTCTCTTTGGGGCATTCTTCTCTGGGTAATATTCCCACCTTTCAACAGAGTAATAGACAGACCATGTACCCTTTGGGTTCACAATCCAAGAGAACGTTGCTTCAGATAAGCCAATTAAATTCTTCCACAGTCAGTGTTCTGTTCCCTGAAAGGAAGTGCAAATGTGACATTTATTCAATTGATAAACATTGGTTATCTGTGTGTGATGGTTTCATGGATGATTTTAGTTACGTGTGATGGGACGATGGGTGATTTTTATTTTCCTCTTTTTGTCTTTCTGCATTTCCCAAATCCTATCAATGCACATGCAGTACTTAACAATTAGAAAGAAAAAAATTATAGTTTTAGGCCATGAACACTGTGAAGTTTCTCTTCCATGTCTCCTTATAGTCTGCAAGATGAATGTCCACCGACGCTGCGAGACCAACGTGGCTCCCAACTGTGGAGTGGACGCCAGAGGAATCGCCAAAGTCCTGGCAGACCTTGGCGTCACCCCAGACAAAATCACCAACAGTGGCCAGAGGAGGAAAAAGGTAACAGGCCACTCGGTGGTGTTTCTGGAGCTCTTTGTGGGTCTGCATCTCGGCGCTGGCTTCCTGGCAGTGCCTTGGAGCGAGGTTACAAGATTGCTGGGTTTGAGACACTGTACTCAAAACAGCACGTGCTTGAAAGGAAAAGAAATAGAGGCCAGGCAGGTAACATTAAAGTCTCCTCCAGTTCCAGAACCAGGGGGAGCCTCAAGTGTTAGGTTTCTCAGGGGAACCTAGAGGAGGACTTTAGAATTTCTTCTAGAACAGTGATTTTCAACCTTCTGGCCCTTTAAATACAGTTCCTCATGTTGTGACCCAACCATAAAATTATTTTCGTTGCTACTTCATAACTGTAATGTTGCTACTGTTATGAATCGTCATGTAAATATCTGATATGCAGGATGGTCTTAGGCGACCCCTGTGAAAGGGTTGTTCGACCGCCAAAGGGGTCGCGACCCACAGGTTGAGAACCACTGTTCTAGAAAAAGCAGGCCAACTGGAGACCAGGAAATAGACGCATCTGCCTCCAGAACTGGCATGAAAGCAATGTCAGTGTTTGCACTTTGCCCTGCTATCACTGCGACGAGGATAAAGGGATGAAGAGCTGGAGCCACATTCTTTTCTAGGGAGCAAGCCAAGATCTGTGATAGCGCCGGCACTCGGCTGCCCGGGGGACGTGGTTAATGCCCCATGACATGAAACATCTGGGCTTTTCTTTGCAGACCAAAGCCCTGTCTCTGTCCATGTGACATTCTGAATGTCAGTAGGAAGAGATCTGTTTGCTAAATTGTTGTTTTGTAAGTCAGGGCCCACAGATGCAAATAGAGCTAAAGGGTGCCCATGGCATTTGCTTTGAAGGCCCTTTTTATCCTTGGCTGCTAACCTGGAAAATGTAAGCGATCTTTGAAAAAGTAAGTTATGACAAAATCAGAACCAAGTTAACTGGGCAAGAAAATCCTGGTGGCGGTGGGTGGACAGTGGCCCTCATTGCCCGGCATCAGGCATTCTCAAGCTTTCCCTAGAGAAGCACATCTAGCTCTGACCCCTAAGTGTTTCTTCTAAATTTTGCCGTAAAACACCTTCTGAAGGGCTCTGTGTTTCCCTTCTCATTTTAGAAGCTGCCCATGCCTTTTCCCTGGTGCCTCTCAGAAGAGCCTTCTCCCTTGAATGGGAAGGTGTGGATTGTTTTCATCTTCTTAAGCTGCTGCTTCTCTACCTTCCCAATCAAGAAAGCTGCTTCTGCAAGAGTTGCAGAAATGAAGTCTATTTTAATGGTTGACTGTGAGATTCTGGGCTTCTGGTGGCTCTTCTCAGCTCTGTATACCCCACTGGTTGAAACAGGACTTAAGTTATTGACCTAAGGCATTGACATTGCAAGCAGAATGTCAGCACCCAGGAGTGCTAGGGCCCTGCTGAAGAGGCAGGAGGTACAAACACCTTGTGATTACAAGGCTGGACACACACACACATTGATGAGCTCTAGAGAGAGCCATTTTCAGGAGACGGGGGTTTTTGTTTTTCCTTGCTAGAAGTAAATTGAGACAGTATTGATTGTCATGGAGCATTTAAAAGAAAACTCAGTACCTGCCCTCTTCCCCATACTTATGTGGGCATCATCTGTCTATCTTGGATTTGGGGAATCCGGTGGTAAGAAGCCAACATGGAGAAATTCAGAAAGAAGTAGAGTAGAAGATAAAGGGAGTGCAGTTCTGGTATTTTTATTGCTGCAATGCCCTGATGCAAAAGCTAGCAATAAGCTAAGTGAACTAAGTATAAGCTCAGGTTTGTATAAGAGGATGGGAGACAAGTGCCCTTGGTCAGAAACTAAAAGGGCTTCTTTGCAGGAGAGTTGGGCTCACTGGATTTTTCATTTCCTTCACATTGCCCCTTGCAAGTAGTCAGTCCATCATCCAGAAAGGATGTGTGCACATAGCTGGTAGACCAAGAGGAAAAGGGAACAGAAATGCTGTGGTCTCGTAGTCCAAACCTCAGACTTTAATGGGAACTTAAATGGATATGCCAACATTTGTGTAAAAACGAGAGTTCACTGGGATATGTCAACATTTGTGTAAAAACGAGAGTTCACTCATTCTTTTAAACTTTGCTAACAAGTATCAGTACATCTGAAAGTGTTTACTGAGCATCTATTAGTATGTGTATCATTAGTATGAGTCACCAGGACGATACCAATACCATCCTGCAAAAAACCCATAGTCTACCTGAGCAGAGAGCCCCACATAATATACACATACAGAGAGTATTAACTAGAGCTGAACAAGACAATGAGTAAATGCCAAACTGGTGGTATGACCGTGTCACATTGCTTTGGATAAGGTAACTTGCATCGCTTGAACAGGCGAGGGAGATTTTATGAAAGGGGTATGCTTGAGTTTTGTTTAAAAAGGTCAGTTGTATTTGGGCAGAATAATAATTGAACAAACTGAAGTCTCTTGTTTTCTTTCCTTTAATTGGTAAAGAAAACCTTGAGACTATGCTTTCAGAGGATCAATTCAGCAGTGTTACTGCACCAGAAACCCCTTTGGTGCTGGGTAGGAGATCTTGAAGCTTTTGGCCTCAGGGAAACTCACCACCCTCGCTTCTGACGTCTCTCTCCCCTCTTCCTCTCCCCCCTCTCTAGCTCCTTGCAGGTGCCGAGTCCCCGCAGCCCGCTTCTGGAGGCTCACCCTCTGAGGAAGACCGGTCCAAGTCAGCACCCACCTCCCCTTGTGACCAGGGTGAGACCCTCGGATTTGCTTCTTTACCTCTGAGCTTGGTCATCAGAAGTTCAGAGGAGCTGAGGCCTCCCTCCCCAAGAATGGCCCTGGGTCCCCGAAACAGCCAGTGGCGCTGTTGACTCATTAGCAGTTCCTTCACTCTACAAGGCTGTCTTGAGGGCAAGGCAGTAAATGCCTTTCTACCTTAAATCCCTTCCAGGCCTGAGTAAGAGAGGGCGTATAGCCCCTTCTCTTACCACTGGGCCCCAGGCCTGTCAGCATCACTCATTTTGACTTAATTCCTCCTGACTCTAACCATCACACCCGAAACCTGAGATTAGGGCAGGAGTCAGGGGATGGGTGGGGAAGACATCTCCTATCCTGGCCAGGGTGGGTGGGTGGAGATAGGACAAAGCTGGGGAAGAGACTGCAAGAAGTGGGCAGGAAGCCAGCTCTGGGCCTCGCTCCTCTCTCAAGCTCAGCTCAGGCTATCTCCTTCCTTCCCATAGGGATGAGTGTAAAGTAATCAGAGGTTTCTTGTTTTGTTTTTTAATTTTAATGTATTTTTATTGATTTCAGAGAGGAAGGGAGAGGGAGAGCGAGAGAGAGAAACATTAATGATGAGAGAGAATCATTGATCAACTGCCTCCTGCACGCCCCAATTGGGGATCAAGCTGGCAATCCAGGCATGTGCCCTTGACCAAGAATCGAACTGTGACCTCCTGGTTCATAGGTTGATGCTCAACCACTGAGCCACGCTGGCCGGGCAGAGGTTTCTGATTCTGCTGGTGGAATGGTGAGGCTGAGAAGGGACTTAGACACTTCAAACTTCCCCTCTGGTGACCAGAACCAGGCGTCACTGGGGAGGGAAATACGCATCTGCAGAGCAGGACTAATTGTATTGCGTTAGATTGACTGGGTATCTTGAAGCCCCTTCTGTGGTCATTATCCAAATTCTGTGTTCACACCAACTCTATGCTGGTGCTCCTTTACTGTCCCCGTGTTACATGGCGGGAAGTGGAAGGTCAGAGACATGCAAAGATTTGTCCAAAGGTTAGTGGATCCACGCCAGTGGTAAAGGGCAAGACCATGCCCCTCCTGGCTTAGGGACCCCACTCTCCGGGTCTGTGCCATCAAACCCGCCTCCTGGGTCACCCTGCAGATGTGACCCAGCTCTTCGTACCCAGGAGTAAATAAAACAGCTGCGGGGCGCTGTGCCAGTCCTGAGGCCACAAAATAATTGGTCTGAGTCTCTCTTTGTGCTGCTCTGCTTAACTTGCTGCACATTTACAGTGTGCATCAGCCCAAAAGCGGCTGAACCCAATGTAAGGCATCTGATGATGTTCGGTGAGCTCCAGACCAGCAGGTATTATCCTGGACCAGCGTGGGTGTTTTCCTGTTTCCCTTTGAGAACTTCCAGGAGATGGGGTCCTAAGGTAAAGAGGCCCTAGAAAGAGGGAGGTGACCCATTTTCTATGTGGTTTCTGCCCAGGGAGCTGCCCAGCCTTGGCAGGGCGCAGTATCTCCCAGGGCCTCTCTCTGTCCCCAGTTAATGCAGGCACCAGTATTGCCCAGCAGTGACATGTGCACAGATGAATGTGAAAACCCTCTTAGCAAGACCTGGCATTATTATGAAACAGAAATAAGACACGGTTTCTCTTTGCTTCATTGTAAGGACATAGACATTTTCTTCGAGCTTCAGTATCCCTAAACACCCAAGTTCTATCTTCCAAAATCCATTTAATAACTTGCCTTGGAAACAGACTTTTTGCTCTATGCTGAGACTAAAAGTTTTATTTAGTGAAGAGTTTGTGATAGGAATCTGACGATTGGGTCGGGGGATAGCGGAAGGCTCAGAAGCTCTCCCCATGCCTCCCCTTCTCAGGGGAGCCAAACACCAGATCTACGAAAGATCCCAGGTTCCTCGAGTGAGCTGCTGTGGGCCTCAGTCTTCTGAAAGAAGCTGAAGATCTCTTTAGGTCAAGCTCCTGGTCGCTCATGCCTGATTCTGATTCCCACGCGTTAGAGTCTATGTTCCTCTTGTGTAATCCCAGTGTTATTCACCAGTGTCTTAAAATTGGATTATGCTCAAGACGCCCATATCTACAAGAGGAATGTGCATCTGGGTGAGTTAATAGCTCACAATAAAGCTTCCTCAAAGAGAAAAGGTCTAAGGCTCACCCAGCGTTATCAGCCCCAGGGAGTTTGCATTACAGCCTTGCGCCCCTCCGGCCTCACCATTGTGAAACTGTGCTGAGAAGCCTGCCCCATCTGAGATACATTTGCAGCCTGTCCCTGTGGGGAAACAGTTCTTTGGTTAATGATAAGCTCCTTGCTTGTTTTGTTAAATAACCTTGCATGGGATGGGTATTTAGAGTAAACCCAGCAACAAAGCCACATAAAGTCCTGTAGAAGATGAAATAATTCCATCACCAAGATTACTGCGATGACAGTTCCCAGTGAGTCGTTACTCTAATCTTCAAAGGAAACTCAAAGGTTATTCGTGGCCTTTGGAACTCTGCAGGGCCCGAGAAGGCTGGGATTCTCGCACTAATCAAGAACAACTGGACAGGCCACTAGCCGAAGGGGGCTTTCAGTGAGGTGGCCGTGGTCCAGTCTGTGCTGAAGGAGTTGGTTGCTGGGCTGTGTCCTCCCCTTTGCATGCCTAGGCCCTACTGTATGTTAAGTGCCAATGAAAGTGTGTCAATGAAGGAACATAAAGGAATGCCATACTGAATCTGTTACGAAAAGCCAAAGAAAATGGGTGGGGACTCATGGGGGTGAAATTCTGAAATCTGAGGGCTCGTGAGCTGTGCACTAATGCATTATCTTGTCTCCCTCGGCTCTAGAATTAAAAGAACTTGAAAACAACATCCGGAAGGCCTTGTCATTTGACAACCGAGGGGAGGAGCACAGGGCAGCAGGGTCCACTGACGGCCAGCTGGCGAGCCCCGGAGAGAACGGTGAAGTCCGGCAAGGCCAGACCAAGCGCTTGGGCCTGGACGAGTTCAACTTCATCAAAGTGTTGGGCAAAGGCAGCTTTGGCAAGGTCTGTGGCCTGTGTGGGTAGAACTGCTGATTTTCTCTGCCCTGGGCATCGGCCCCTCATTTGTTTGATATAAGATGAACCTTTCAGCCTGGTCTTGTTCTACTTTCCTTCCTTATTGAGTGGAAGTGGCCTGAGGCCAAGCAGATAGTTAACTGGGGTTCTGCTCTTAACTGTCTGGGAGACGTTAGCGTGGGCCTTTTCCTTCTTTGGGATTCCGTGTAGCCCACTTGTCAAATGGGGATGGGAATCAAGTGACATTATAGGTGAGAAAGCACTTTGAAAAGTTTAAATTGCTTTCCATGTGCTTGGCATTCCATTATCAATAATGGTAACAATACTGTTCTTCCCTCCATCAGAGAGTCATCTGAAGTTCTGGTTTTAATTCATTATATAGACTTTGAAAATGAACTCCAGCATGTGTGCCCTCTGTGAACTTGGGGCTCAAAACAAGTCTTAGCACATGTTACCATGGAAGTTAGCTGTTACGTAACTGACTTTTCTGGCACTTACTAAACGCTTTGTTTAACCTCTGTTTGTGCCAGAAAATGGGAATAATCACCTCCTCTCTTGGATCAGGGTCCTCTGCCCTTGCTGCCATTGAAAATGAACTCCAGCATGTGTGCCCTCTGTGAACTTGGGGCTCAAAACAAGTCTTAGCACATGTTACCATGGAAGTTAGCTGTTACGTAACTGACTTTTCTGGCACTTACTAAACGCTTTGTTTAACCTCTGTTTGTGCCAGAAAATGGGAATAATCACCTCCTCTCTTGGATCAGGGACCTCTGCCCTTGCTGCCATCCTCCTCCCTATCCTGCTCCCCACTGGGACGGACACAGTGGTATGGAGTGTGGATGCAGAGGGTGCTCAAATACTGCTTCCTGGTGATCAGCCACCATTCTGAAGGTGGGGTGCGATGGAAAAATAATTCCTGCTCATTTAGAAAAAAAGATGGACAGCCTGGCTGGTGTGGCTCAGCGATTGAGCATTGACCTGTGAACCAGGAGGTCACTGTTCAATGTTCAGTCAGGGCACATGTCCAGGTTGTGGACTCAGTCCTCAGTAGGTGGCGTGCATGAGGCAGCCGATCAGTGATTCTCTCTCATCATTGATTTTTTTTTTTATCTCTCTCCATTCATATCTGAAATCAATAAAAATAATTCTTTAAAGAAAAGAGATGGACAGGCAGAGAGCCTAAGAAGCTGGTTAACATTTCAGCTGTGATCTCTGCTATTTGGCGCTTCGCAAAGCCATGCCTGGGAGTGGATGAGCATTGTTTTTTGAGGACCTCCCGGAGTAGAGAGGCCCTACCCTGGAGCCCAGGCACCTGCCTCTGGGACCTCCTCGGGATCACTTGCCCTCACGAGTCAGGCTGTGGGTCAGGAGGCTTGCTGGGGGACAGAGCCACTCCACTTCTAGGAGAATGGCTCTGTGAGCCTCCAGGGTACAGAGCTTGGTTCCTGGCCCATCTCACCTGCCCCATCTCAGTCTGAGATCAATGCTGCAGGAAGTAACTGGATCTACTTAAATGGCAAAGGCTGAAGTAATCACATTCTTTAGAGACGGCTAAATAAGAAGCAGACCCCAGTCCTCTGGCCGGCATAACTCAAGGATGTGAGCAGCTTTCATTGTGAGCAAGATTCATGGGCAACGAGCAGCCTCAAAGGCTACAGGGTTCCATATGGTGTGTGGCCAGGATGGGAACTCTGATGATTCTGAAGCATCTAGATTGTTTCTTAGGAAAAATCACAGTCACAGTGAGCTAGTTTTAAAGAGTTTGCATTTTATGTGGGCAACTAAATGTCTTCACAGTAACATCCCGAATTCCCTCATTAAGCATAGTATGTTTATGGACCCAGTGCATACAAATACGTAAGAGGAAACTGACAAATAGTTCACACAAAAGAAATTTACTTAGAAAACAAATATTTAAAAAGTTTATTGCAAGTTAAAACAGCACCGAGGTAACATTTCACACTCATTACATGAACAACATAGCTTTTTAAGTGAAGCACCCAATGTTGGTAAATCGCTGGGAAACCAAAGCACGTCTCCTTTGCTAGTGGCACATTATGTTGTACATCCTTTTTGAAAATCAGGCATGTGCAAATATTTAGCCCCATAATCCACTTCCACTTCCACCACTTTCTATCTTGAGGACAAAAAAAAGAAAGAAATTATATGTACAAAAATATTCTTTGCAGTTTTCATGTAGTACTTAATGATTACTTGTAACTCAAGTGTCTCCTAGGAGGTAAAAGTTTAAATTGTAATATTTACTTGAATTATCAGACACCATGATAAAAATGAAGACTGTGTAGAAAAATGCTTATAAAACACTGTCTGGTTAAAAAAACACGCTATGCTATATTTACCATACTCTAAGTGCAAGTATGACAAATGTATATAAACATGTAGATAATTATTTAGCAGATGTGCATTGAACTTTTCTTTGCCCAGACACCGTGTTAGAGATTAAAAGTAATTAAGTGGTAGTAGCTGTACTGGGATGGGTAGTTTCTCTAGACATTTTTAAAAGCTTTGATACTATTTAAAATGAATGAAAGGAGTCCGTTTTTAAGCACTTGGTATTGATGCGTGTTTCTTCTCTCCCTACGTGTATATACTGACAGAGTGGTTTTGATTGATTGCAGGTCATGTTGGCGGAGCTCAAAGGCAAAGACGAAGTATATGCTGTGAAAGTCTTGAAGAAGGACGTCATCCTTCAGGACGACGATGTGGACTGCACGATGACAGAGAAGAGGATTTTGGCTCTAGCGCGGAAACACCCGTACCTAACCCAACTCTATTGCTGCTTCCAAACCAAGGTATGCTCAGGCCGAAGCTAGTGGGTCGCCATCATGGGGCAGCGCTGGGGGACATCTTAACTGTGATGAAAGATCAATTATAGAGCCTCTACATTCTTTCTCAAAAACCTTGTAAAGTGGAATGGATTTTGCCCTTGAGAAGATCAGGGTGTATTTGAAAAGCATCCTCTTTTGTAAAGGCCTGGAATTTTCCATCCAGGATTATGCTTGTGAGGGGATGAGAGCGAGCCGCGGAACTCTTTGCAGATGTAGCTGGACAAAGCCGAATGACTAAGCCCAGCCAACAGGTGTGGTTCGTTCTGGCTCTGCTCTAACTTATCGCTGCGCAAGTCACTAAAGCTCTATGCTGTTTTCAGGGCAAATGAAAGAGAATAAAGGCCACCCTCACCGCTCCTAGCTTGCATAATGTCATAGGAGGTAAAGGATGTAAACAAGTGCTTAAAATGCCATAGGGCAATACAAATAAGCGGCATTTTAAATTTACCATGTAGGAACCCAGTTACCAGAAGGTGGCAGTAAAGAAACAAAGATAATCTGTAACCACATCAGAAAGTCCGACCTCTGATTGAGTTGTTTCTTATTCTGAATGAGGAAGAGAAATGCCAGCATTCTTTATGAAGCTCTTATTAGGGGGAAAAAAAAAAAGGTCAAGGTCTCTTAGGATGCCTTACGGATTTGTAGCTCTCGGCTTCTTGCAAAGGTGAAGGCAACCTCACCTGAAACCCTTACCTGTGCCCACCGGGAGCCCAGACCGTGAAGGTGCCAATCATGGAGAGACGAGTCCCTGCTCTTGGCACAGTCTCACCCCCGTGTCTTTCCACTTAGAATTCAACAGTCACAAATTGGGTGATTTGGCAGATTTTTAGTTAATTATATTATATCGAATCATTCCCTGGTGCCAGGTGTTGGAGATACACTGGTGAGCAAGGCAGAGACCCTGACTTCAGGGAACTTATATCTCTTTGGCACATTGTTTCCCAAAGAGTGTTTCTCAGAACCCTCCTCACTTGGGAAACTCTAAGAATGAAGGACTCTGTGGCACATACTTTGAAACGCTGCCATCTTGACTTCTCTTGGAGTATCTCAATATACACTTGCTTAAGTAAGTCCCGGAGGAGACCAGCAATGAAAAAAAAGTTACTTTTATGTAATCTACTATTTCGTAATTATTTGATCCCCACCATTCCAGACTGAGAACCACATCTAATGGAATTTTTCTAATCCCTCTGATCCCTCAGAAGAAAGAAATATCCTCAGAAAATGTGGAAATCCCTTTTCTGAACAAGCACAGGACTTATATTAGCTGCCCTTGTTTTTTACTTGAGTTACAAAGGGCCAAAGATCTGTTTGACTGTGCATTTGTGTGTATATGTACACGCACAAAGGCCCGACATGATGATAGAGGATCAGAGTCAACTTTCTTCTTTTCTCCACTTGAACATGATTCTCGGTTAGTGAGAAATGTGTCCAGTATGTCTTTATCTCCCCGGTGCCTGTCTGACAGCCTCACACCTTGTAGGTGTGCACTAACACCCCGGGAGGGGCCAGTCTAGCTGTGAGTCCCCTGTAGCTGGTGGAGCGTTGGCAGTCACTGTGGAGGAGCAGCTGCCCCGCGCCCCTTGGTGAGTGTGTGGGGCATGAGCATGGTGCCTTCCGGGCCAGCGGTGTTCTCCTGGTGCATCTCAGAACAAGGCTGACTTCCTCATCGGGAGGCAGCGTTGGGAGCACAACGTGGCGGTGAATGACACCATGGGTTTCCTTTAGGGGAAAACAACAACCAAACTGACGTGGAGATTGGGGTCTGGGTGGCTGGGGGTGAGGCCGGGGAGAGGAGAGACTTTCCTCTGTGGTTCAGAGATTTACTAACACTTTCTCAGGCCACTATCTGGCAGCCACAGTTACAGGAGCAACTTTGTCCTGTGCCTCCACTAGTCAGGGGAACACAACACGCCTCACTCTACAGATGTCTGTGCATCTGATTTTCCTAAAGGGAATCATATTTAACTTCACCAAAGGACCTTCACTTACTAATGAAAGGAATGCTGTGAAGAGTCATTTTATAAACCTCCAACTAAACTTTTAGAAAATGTGACCGGTAGGCAAGGCTTTAATGGGTAGCTGTTATTCACCTGACTCGGAGTTCGGTGCTAGATGTGGGGTTTTCAGCAAAAAGGAAGATGATTCTCAAGTAGGTGGGTTTATTAAATAAAGAACGGGAGTTATCTAATTACCATAAGCAAGTTTTTTTTGTGTTCAAACCAGGAGGAATCGGAGGAGAGGGTGCTGGTGGTTAGTGTCTGAAGAGGGGAAGGAGCTCAAACCAGGCTTTGCAGAATGGGGAGGGTTGGGCTGGGAATGGGAGCTGGGTTAAGTGGCCATGGTTGGGTCCTGCTTTAGTTTCACTTTTTCTGAAAAGAAAGGACCATTCCTCTGAGCCTCCCCGGATTGGTTTCAACCAGGACTTTGTACGTGATTAAGGACCACAAGACCCGATTGCAATCCTAGGATGTCTTGCCTTCTTGTTTAATTTAGACACACAGAGCATCGCTAGTGTTAGGTCAGGTTTAATTATCTTTAGGCGAGCCTTTATTTTTCAGTTTGTAGGACCAAAACAGCCCCTATGGAAGCATTCCAGAGAGATCGAACACGGCTTCTGGTTATTACATAGGTTGCTGGCAGCACTGACTATGTGTGAGATGCGGGTACTGTGTCTGATAGGATGACTGATGGCAATGATTGTGCAAACCCGTTGGCATCATTCATGAACTCAGGTAACGTTAGTTCTGGTCACTATAGGCCATTGAATGACAAAGTTACAGCTAAAGAAGGATTTGGCCTTTTCTGAATACCAAGCCCACTTGCCCTTGGCTCATTGCACGCTGATCATCCTCCTTGGGATCTGGTTGGGAAAAGGCCAGTGGAATGGTAGCTCTCCAGAGCCAGTGAGAAAAGGCAGACAAACCAGTAAATTACGTGAATAACATTAATTTTAATCAAATTTAAATTGGGTGTTTGACTGGAGCTCCCTCTATGCTGTGCTAGAATAAATGGAAACAACCAGGGAATGCTACAAAATTGTATTTAATTAACTGTCAAATGTATTGGATGAAAAGAAGCTAAGGGACTCCTGACTCCAGGCAAGATGGAGTAGCCTCATTTCTCTCAGGTTCTCCTTCTTACAATTAAAAATCCCTGGGCATAATTCTTGTTTAATAAAGGGATATGCTCATCAAGACAGATATAGCCATAAAGAATTACAGAAATTCTACCTGTTGGTGTGCATGAGAAACTAAGACCTTCATCTTTAACATTGCCAGAGACATAATGGTGTTAAATTAGTAGCATGCTTAATATTTTCATACATGCACGTACACATAATAATTGTTTTTTGGTTAGAAATAAAAGGTATGGCCTGTAATTATTTCAATGAATGTACATGTATTTATTGAGCATATGTTACATGTCAGACACTGTTAGATTCTGGGGCTACAACACTCACAAGCTATTGACTCTAAATTCATGGAGATTTCTATCTAGTGGGGAGAAAGACACACAGAGTGATATTCTATAGCATGGTAGCTCTTCTGATGGAGCCATTTAGGTGATTTCTTTGAAGGCCTGCAGAAGGTAGTTTGGAAGGCTTCCTGGAAGAGGTAGAATCTAACCTGGACCATGAAGCATGGTTAGCATTTGGAAGAGGATAAAGGCAAAGAGATGGCTGATAAGACCTAGAATTTATCCCCAAATTTCATTTTCATTATTATTTTTCCAAAGCTAGACCCCTCAAGCATTCTGTGTCCTACTTCCTCCAAGGAAATGACAATGGCTGAACAACAAGAAAGGAGAGGAAGAAGTGGAGGATATTTGAAAAATAGGGAAATTCTTGCATCTACAAGATCAGATACTGGTTGCTAGAGAGGGGAGGGTAATACTGTGAGCCTGCTTCATGGGGAGGGGGGCACTTAACTAGGCTCTGAAAGTTAGGGGCTTGGTGAATCAGGCCATCGGGGGAGGAGCGACTTCAGGAATTGCTCCTTCTGGGCTCTCATTTTCCTAGGGATAGGAAAGCCTCTGGGTGGTAGGTTTGCTTTGTTTTTGTTTTTATAGTTACAGGAAATAAAGTTCTCAGGCATTTTTAGATTCTGTGCATGATCCCCATTGTGAATCATCATCTTCCAACTGGATCCCACAAACCCTGACTTGAATAAGTTCATCCATGACTTTTCTTCTTTCTCTCTCCCTAATCGACTCCATCCCCCACTCTTTGGCATTTCCTGCCAGGCCTGGGAAGCCAGCTCAGGGAGGGCTTTGCCTGTGTGAGCCACTGCTCAGGAAACTGAGGGTGAGCTCCTGAAGAATCGCCCTGGGCCAGCCTCCCTCGCTGCCCTGGGGAAATGCAGGATGGAAAAATCCTTAAAAAGCAGCTGGAGACATTTTTTAAATGAGTTTTAGTTATCAGTATGAGCTAAGAATTCAGTAGTTACTTATTTGGTCATTTGTCAGATTTTTAGCTAATTATATCATACTAGAGGCCCAGTGCACGAAATTCGTGCATGGGTAGGGTCCCTAGGCCTAGCCGGCAATCAGGGCTGATCTGTGGGGTGACTGGCAGGGTGATCGGGAGTCCCCCCTCCCGACCTCCCCCCGCTGTCACCTACCTTGGCCGGCCTGGCACTGCTCACTCACCTGTCCTGTCCCCTGTTGCCATTGATCACCTCCCTCTTGGCCTGGGGCTTGCGAGCTTGGGGCAGCTCCTGCATTGAGCGCCTGCCCCCTGGTGATCAGTGCGCATCATAGTGACTGGTCGTTCCACCATTCGGTCAATTTGCATATTAGACTTTTATTATATAGGATTATATTGGGGTAAGAACTGCTGAGGCATGTTGACAATTCAGGGAAAACTTATAGTTTCAAGGAACTCTGATGTGTATTTTGAACATTGACTCTGAAGAACAGCAAACATGAAAGCAAAATAAAAAGTAAAAAAATTAGGCCTTTGG